TGCTCCAAGTTAATGCTAAAAATTATCTCACAGAATAATCATACCATCATACATGAACAGGCAAAAATCAAGAGCAAATACATCTTTTAAAAGGTTAATTCGAAAGTTATAAAATTGCCATACTCTTTCAGAGGTATTATCAGTTATCTCCATCCCATTTATCATTTCTTAGATGTAAAAGCCATTGTTCACGAGCATCAATAACGTGTGTGACACCCTATATCCTTTAGAATTAATGAACTTATCCTAGTTGCATGAATATTTCGATTCACAATTTCTTTCAAGTATCCTAAATTTTCCTAAACGAATAGGACAATAGAAACATCGAATACAAACGTATCTAAATTTTCCTGATCTAAGCTCCATTATTTTCTCGAGTTTTAATTGAATACAGCCAGTAATACCATTTTCAACTTTTCTTTCACAGAACTTTTCAACCAAAAATCGAAAGTTCACAAAATATGAAGATTCAAGAACATATATCTCATTGGAAAAAAAAAATACTGAAAAAACAAACACGACAACAATATAAAATTTGACCTTGACTTTGTTTTCTGAGATTTTTGGAAGTCTTCATTGGAATCAAGAATTTCTTGTGTGAATAAAGGGGGTTATGCTACATGTGCATTATGGTGTCCATAATGTACAAGTGGCATTATCATTGGAGAGTTGGAAAACAGTTTTTTCAACCCTTCAATTATGGATTTTCAGGTGTATATTATGGATACTCTTATATAAACCATAATGTACATGTAAAATTATCCGAAAGATAAAACTATATGTGCATAATTTTTTGTACATCAAGATATCCATACACTCATATGAGGTGAGATCCACTCGAATAAAATATTCAAGCAAGCCCCATCCCTTTTGAGTGTAGGACATCTTGATGTACAAAAAATTATGTATACCAAACAAATCTCTTATCCGAATAAAGGACCCGATCCAGTTTCTCTAAAGTGACGGTAAATTCAACAATAGGGTGGGAATTAATAGGTTTTCGGGTGGAGATTACGAGAGAAATTAGTAACACTTCCCCTTCCATCTTGCTCCTATAACCTAAGGTAAAGGAATGATTTTTTAAGCGATGGTTTTAGATTAGGGCGAGTTTTGGGCCCAAGCCAGGGCCAACCCTAGATCAAAATATAAATTAACATAAAAAGAATTAATATAGGGTTTCCGCAAGAAACAATTATGTGTGTGTGTGTGTATATTCAAATAATTCTTCTTGAAGAGTACTGAATTTCACGAATGATTCTGGGATCTAAATTCTATAAAATGTTTAGATATTTTCTCTTCGAACGTAAATAGATTATTTTATAACAAGTATATTTGTAATTCAATGGAAATTATTAAAAACTATCACGAATTATAATCTCTCCTCAGGAAAATGATTGGAAGAAGACATTTGTGAAATCGATAATTATATACTCAAAGTACGATTCTCCCTTTAAGCTTAGATTTTGACTCTATCTAGTCAAATAGGTCGTATTATCTTTCTAGTGACTTTCTCGTAAATTAATGGACTTAGAACTCATTCTCATCGACAAATGTTCATAATATTATCTTTTAACTTCAAGTAAAGACAATTCAATTAGAAAGTAATCATTTTACTTTGTTATTTCTACTCCATTTTAATTTATTTGTATTTCTTCTGAAAATGTTCTTCTTCTTCTTCTTCTTCATTTTTTTTTTTTTTAAATCCAAAAATAATTGACGAGTCAAAACTTTTGCACTCTGAACTTGGAAGAAGGTTAAGCCTTTGACTGAAGAATTGATTGGTGGTCCTCCGTCCCTCTCTTACAATATTTATTCGACTCTTTACATTTATAAGAATAAGTCAAATATATCGAACTTTTTGGAGTTTTTGACCACCAAAATTTGATAGTTTGAATGTTCTTTCCTTATTATTTGACGCTCTATTTGTTTAATTGCAAAGAATAGTTGTTCAATAGGAAAATGACTTGTCATGCTGGAATATTCTTATTCACATTTACATATCAATTCCTGTCTAAAATGAAAAATAAATTATTTTGTTTGTCTTTTTAATTTTGGCTACTTGTTTGATTTAGTATATAGCCTTTTATCAATAGGTATACATAGTATCTGAGATGTATAATCAAACTTCGAAAATTCTCTTGATTTTTTTTCTTGAATAATTTTAAAATTATTTTTTAACTAATAAAATTTACTTTAAGTATGAAAATGTAACTAAAAGCAACTTTTAAACGTTGCTATACATCCTAACCAAAATACTATTGGGTGTGCTTAGAAAGTTGGATGGTGTAAGAGATTTTATCAGATTGAAATTGATTGACATATAGTGTGATTATTGGTACAAAATTTTTACAATCAACACGATAAACAAGAGCAAGTCAAACACCCGTGCTTCAAGAAAGAAATTTCATGTTCCAAGTGTCCAACTACCAAAATAATACCAAAGCTACACCTCTATCAATCTTATCGCCCAAAAAAGTTACAAGTTACCTTAAAGCATTGATTATTTTTCAAGTCTAGAAAAATAACAAGATTACGATTTTTAAGTACCTACCATTTGAAGTTGAGTAATGTTATTTGTAGTGAAGACTGTCGATAGTCGCCCTATGTGGTATATACTTGAAAATTTGGTATTTGATACATAGATATGGTAGTTATTTTGCAAATTATACATCAAATAAAAAACCGCAAAGTGTATGCCACATAGGGCGACTGTCGATAGTTTTCACTGCAAATAAGATTATTCTTTGAAGTTAGTATGCCCTTTCGAAAACCGCAAGGAGTGATGATGTTCTTCTAATAAATCGTTAATGTCCAAGTCAAGGTTTATACCTTCCAATGTTAATTTCTGGGCTCTTGCTGGCCAACTTACTAATGTCCAAATTATTAATTAAGTACACATTGGGTTAACCTCACAATTTTAGGCCACCCAATAAAGAATTAAAAATATTAGTAGAATAAAATATAATCTCTCTACATTCCAAGTCTGAATTCAAAGGACAAGTTGCTATATCATTTATATACAAAAAAAAGGGGGGCGGGGGGTGCTAAAATAAGAGAAAAAACATGCTTCCTATCATATAACAAATTCTCGAATACAATCGTGTTTTGGGTGCTATGAGAACAAAAAAAAAAAAAAACTGTAGTATAAAATATAAGTTTGGACATGAGTTTACATGTTTCATCTATCATTTCAAAATTTAAATAAACTAAATGTGAATATGATCAAGAAGGATCTTTTAATTTGCTACAAGATTATTATTCGTTTACATACAAAATTGTCAAACAATTATCATTCACTTTGTTTTAATTTGTAAAGAATAGTTGTTTTCACTACCGAAGATTGACATCTCCTTCCACTCCACTCCTCGTTAAAAAATATAATTAAAAGCAATTATTGATTATTTGTTATGGCCTATTCTCATAAATCCAATATGTAACGTCAGTATTATTATGTATTATCGAACTTAAAAAATTCTCAAGATTTTCATATTCAATGGTGTAATACATTCATCCAATGCGTTTCTTTTTAATTAAATATTACTCCACACAGCCTAGAGTGTTCCCTAGAACTAAATATGTTAAGCCCTTATTTGAATATGCATTTTATTGGACATATAATTTATTTAATTTTTTTACTTCTAACCACTCATTTTATGAAGTTCGTGTATTTACAATCTCAGAAATCACACCCTCCATATTTGTGGAATGGGCAAACAAACAAATTTCATGATCAAACTACCACAATTAGGTTAAAAGTCCCAAACGGATTTGACTTTCAATCCACGAGGCAAGTTAACCTTCTCCCGAAGTAATAATTTCACTTTGATGTAAGCCTGTAGGCTCTAATCATCCACAAGTTATGCAACTTGCTTCAAGCCAATGATTACTTTTCACGGGTTTTTGACACCTTGGATCCCTAGTCGACATACATTAACAATAGGATTGAGTGGGAGTATTTTTTTTTTGCATTTTTATTCACATGAGTCCCACACGAATTCTTCACATATGTGAGAATAGGTCATTTAAAGTGTCAAAATTTTTCTAATAACCTGGTTTAATTCAAAAAAATTATAAAATTCCAACCTTCAAATACCATTCTGCTATTTTATCGAACCTTTTTGTGTAAGGTTAATATTGTCGATAAAAACATGTCAAGGGTTCTAATATAAAATACTCCCTGTCCCAATCAAGATTCTGACAAATTGGTTTAATTAAAATTTTTTTTTTTTATAAGATTCCAACCTTCAAATACCATTTTGCTATAATTTATCGAACTTTTTTTTTGTGTAAGGTTAATATTGCCGATAAAAACATGTCAAGGGTTCTAACCTAAAATATTTTGTTCCAATCAAGATCTATATCTCACACGCATCTTGAAATTTCAAGCTGACCAACTTGTTTAATATTCAAATATTGTCGATCAAATTAATTAATTAATTGTGTTTTATTAGCTTAATTTAATTGATTATCCCACCATTTAGGCCCAAGCATTTAGCGGTTTATTAAATACAATATCTCCATATTTGGGACTCAAAGGGATTCGAGCATTTGTTGACCTGCAGAACAAGAAAAAATATCATCAGAATTAATCAATAAATTAATGAGGAATAGAGAAATTTAGTTAAAATTAATAACAGTAACAGCAATAATTAAATATCGTTTAATGAAGAAATAATTTATTTGAACCCAATTATAAACGCGTGACGATCACACGTGCCGCGCGGTACGTGTAGCCAAATCCCACGTGAACGACGTGAATGCCACGAAACGGATGACGGCTGAAACAGGGCACCTCAAGAACAAAGACTTTACTCAATTGTTAAGGCATTTAACGGCGGCGGTTAGCGGATTGTTCACACAGCAACGTTGGTGAATCGCGAATGAAACTTCACAGAAATCAAATATTTAATATTCCAATTTTAATGTCCAATTAGCCAAAAACTTTGTACTTATTTTCTATTTTCAGGTCTAAATTCACTGTATATATATATATATATATATTTTTTTTGTACCGCCGAATATAAAAAATCCCATTAGGATTGGAAAAAAAAAAAAAATATGAAGAAAACCAATTAATTTTGGATTGCACTTTTTCTACGCGTTTGCGCCTACTGCTGAAGAGAATGGGAAAATTTCCTGCTCGGCGCGGAGTAGAAACGACTAGGGTTCCTTTCCTGATAGTAATTGTATTTCCTCGCCGTCGCAGGATAAACAACCGCCGGAGAGAAACGACGAAACGTCGGAGGTACATGATAACATGTGGTGGCTGCAGGAACTGGTTTACGCATAGCAGACGGAAAATCAAAACAGGACATCGGAGAAGACGGAGGAGAGATTTTCTTTGATGGTTTGATTGGAAATAGCACGGCTGTGATTTTCGTCTCCGGCGAAAGACGATCATACTCTCCAATCACATTCTTCAGATCCTCGTCACAAGTAATAGAAACCAACACATCTAAATCTTCGCTCGGTAGCTTACACTTTAACTTCATCGAGTGCCCACACGACTCTTCAAGTTTCACCATCAGCTCTGTATGAATTCCAAAATTACTTCAGTCTCTTCCAGAAAATTCAAAACTTCTAAATGATAGACAGAAACAATTTAACGAACGAACCTGCAAATTTTATTGACCGATCGACGGACAGAACTCGGTTGAAACCGCCGGTGTAACGAAGTTTACCGTCAATGGGCCGAGGGACGATTTTGCCACCGTAACTGTAGAGAAATTTGATTGTTCGTTTACAGTTTGTACTTCTGGTCGAATTCAAGTTGGGAGTCATGCTAGGGAAACTTTAGTGAGAAAGGAAAGCTGAGAGAGAACGGGATTTTACTGGCACCTTCAAACCTAAAGTCTAAAGAGACGAATCCTATTTATAGGATTTATGACTGTTGGGAAATCGGAATAAAATATATAAATATTGAAAAATATAATAATTCTAATTCAACGCGGAGAAGGAATGAAGCCAATTCCAATTAATTCGGATATTCGCTATAGGGGCACGTTTCGTACCAATTCCAATTGATTCGGATATTCGCTATAGGGGCACGTTTGGTCCCAATAAAGAAAATTATACATATTAACGTAAGAAGCACTAGAAGCCGCCAACTCTGAGAAGTTTAATGATTTCAAATCAACCAATATACTATTAGCAAATACACTATTTCTAATTTATTATCATTAGTTGAACATTCTTAATTTAACAATAATTTAATGCAACCCAAAAGAAAAAGTAATATTAATTAAAAAGTGATGGGACCAATTCATACCGTTTCTTGATTTTGGGAATTGAGAGAGCCATTATTGTCATCGGAAGAAGAATGGTGAAGATGAAATAGAAACGGCACTAATTCAACAGTTTGAAAATCTAAAAAATAGAAAGGAAAAAATGAAAAAAAAGAAGATGAAAAATAAAGCAACAAAAGTTTTTTTTAAACTCATCAAAGGTAAGATGAAAAGGCTAAGGATCACTTATAGATCTAGAGAGAAATTGAAAAGTGATCGGATTGTTTCTTTTCTGTAACTTGATTTCGACCATTCAACTGGTAAAAATTATTTTCCGGGTCGTAGATTTTCAATTAACAGACCAGTTTAATAGTTTTGACACCGATTTTTGAATGAATGGTTTTACTAGCATAATCGGACCAATGTTCCTGCTAGTTCAAGATTTTTCTAGTTCACACGACCAATCCAATGACCCAGTCTGATTTTGCGAACACTAAGCATATAATACTTGTTATGTGTGAGAAAATTGTTATAAAAGAAACAGAATTAAATATGATCAGACTGTAACATCGATCGAATTATGAGGGATTTGTGCATGTTTGAAATTTAATGAAAAGTCAGGAA